TCGTGATCAAGGAAAGTCATGACACTAACGGTATCCTTGTGCTCATGATAGCCACTGACCTTCCGATACCAATTGCCACCTCCCGATAGGTCAAAGGAGTGCAGCAGCGATGATGCTAACGGGAGAAAGAAACGACGCGCCATGACATCATCAGCAACCTCATCCCAGCACTCCGAGATGGTATTGAGCCGTATGTTGTCTCTGGGGCGACTCTTGATGGCTTCACTCAAAGCAGGCAAGGCTCCACATAATCAAGTCTCGGTTGGGTTTGGGACGATCAGCAATTCGGACTACAGCAGGCACCTCCCCAGCGCGGCGTTCTGCATCCCAGCGATCACTGGCGAAAAGAGCCCAGCGCCAGGCCATCTCCTCGCCTCGCTGTGCGCGCACTGCACCTCCATTGTAACACGCGTGAAGCATGAGTTGTGCTTGAGGTTTGAGCATTCAGAGCCCTAGGGCCTATCACCAGCTCTGTTTTCGTCGCCGTTGGTCCAGGGTCAACGTGTCATCTTCAGCATGCCCCCTTGATTGTCTAGCATTGTTCCCCGGTTTCTACGTCCAAAGGACCGTACGTGAGGCGTACTCACTTCTCCTTTACCGCAAGTAATCACCCGGCTTCTTATCCTGGCATCTTCATTGCTGCCGCTGCAATGACGCAAGAAGCCCACTGTTCGCATGCTATTACAAGAGCATGTAAGCAATACCACTTCGGGATCAACTCTCCTTGCAATGGTCAGGTGTGTGAGGCTTGTGACTCTGTGGATTCATGAATTCATGAGTGTCGAAGCAGCTGGTGATGAGTTCCAATCAACCATGCAAGAGAAAAGCGACTCTCGCCGAGGTTGTCAGGCGTCCCCTACACAAAAAATGACAAACAAAACGAAACACTCCAACGAAACAACTGCCTGCACCAACATAGTGCAAATCACGACGAAGCAAAACAGATAAAGATGTGGTAAGATGCTGCTGCCTACAACTGCTACGGCTACTACGACAATTACTGGAAACGCGGATACGAATACAAACGAATACAACTACTAATACTCATACTGATACTGCTGCAGTTACTAATAGCAAACGTATACCGCACTAATACGAATAGTGCAATAAATACAAGTACCACTACCACTCCTCCTCCTCCTCCTGATGATCCTCCTCCTGCTGCTGCTGCCTCCTACTCCCACTGCTACTCCTGCTCCTACGCCTACTCTTACTCCTACTCCTACTACGAAAATACTGCTAATGCTGACCACGCTTGAATTACGGCCGAAGGGCATCATTCGAACTCCGCACCTCCCCACGTGACGTTATGCCAAGGCTGCCACGAACTCTTTCCCTGGCCCCCCGCACCGCAGCCTTTCGCAGCATCCAGATCCATCCTAAGCAACTGCTTTAAACAGAAGATGCGGTGCTCTCAAAGTAGCAAATTCCAGAGCCACACGAAAACGAGCGCAAGGACGACTAGTACAAACTTGACCGGCCCCTCCGTAAGGAAAGACACGTCTGCAGAAGATTGTGTATTGAACCCCCGCACCTGCGCTTGCACGTGCCTGAAGAACGGGGCCTCACTCACAATCGGAGTACCACAATATACTAGCAAGGAGACATGGCCAAAAGTAATCGAGCAAAAGTGATCGTCAGCATGAATACTCTACACACAAAGGAGAAGACCACTTGAACCAGAGCATCTGAAGGCTCGCCTGCTCTTCCTCCAGCCGTCGCTGTATTGGAGTCGCCTGCTCCGGCGGGTCAAAACACCGCCCCGCCTAACAGTTCTACAGTTCTGAAGACTTACACCGACAGGTTGAACAAGTCTGCATGAGTCAAGCTCGTTCTTGCTGTGGTCTCTGCCTGCAGCCCATCGAAGGACTGGTGCATGTTCTCCAGCGCTTTGATGCAGCGAACAGACCAGTCAAGCTCCTGTGAGCAAGGAACTGTTTGCTGGCACAAACCGTTGCCACAGCCGCAGGCCCCTCGTATGTCGAGGGTCACCATACCAGAGGAAAGAGAGCTTGCTACCTAAACGGAGCGTGCAACCTCTCACCCAAACCCTCCCCCCCAAAACATGAAAGTAAAAACCTGCTTTTAGCACCAGAAGAGTGGCGCTCTGAACAGCGTGGACCTCCGCCTCCTGCAGCGCCTCTCACTTCGCATGTCGAGTTAGGGGGTGCACGGTTTCCGTTGCAGTGGCCTATCAGAAGGGAAGCATGGGATGTTAGGGCTTGGGTTTTCTGGGGTAATTAATTTCAGATTTTACCCTGGTTTTTCTAATGGAACACGGGCAGCACGTTTCAGCACTCACAGCTAGGCGCAGGACTCAAAGGCACATTAACGGCTGGGGGTTTGGTGGGATTGAAATTTACAAGCACTGCCTTTTTACGGTTGTGGCGGTATCTCGCAATTTTGCACCGTAGAGGTGCAAAGGCACTTACTTCCAGCAGCTCTTTGAACTATGAAGCTCACTCGGCAGAGCTCCTCGCAAGCGGAAGTGCCTCCAAAGCCCTGCAAAGTCCAGGCTACCACAACGAAACAACATGTTCCCCACACTTACTGAGGGCATCCTAACCTTGCACCCAAAATTCCGAAGCATGAAAACCTCAGCAACCGTTGAAGGCCTTCTGCCTCTGGAGCTCCCGACGCAGAGCCACTCCAGCCCCTTCCTCCGCCAGAAGGGTCGGCACAACTTTCGGGTCCCGAAAATGCCGGATTCCTGTTTGATCTAGTATGCAGGACCTGTTTCTACCGTAGGTCATGAGCATCATTAAGTCCAAAGGCCAAGGATCAGAAGCAAAAACAAATTATGCCGAATCCCAGACAGCCATGCCTCGCTGCACTGCAGCGAGTCGAGGTGGGCCTCGTGCCAGCATTCGAGGATTGGGGCTTTGGGGCTTTGTCTCCGAACTCCCGCTCCAAAAAATATGGGGGGGACGCAGAGCACCCCAGTGAGGACTCTCAAGAACCCTTTTGCAGGAGTTCACCACTGCTTGCTCTAGACTCCAGATGTAGATTTTCCTCCCATCCCGCGTCCCTCCTTGGCGAGCTCTGCATTCTCCGCGGCGAGGCTCTGAACATGAGCCTGCAAGACTGCCGACCTGTAGGAACCTGATTACATACACCTTGAATCTTCTTCGTTGTGCTCTAGCGGTTCTTGCCAACGATCGCAGTTCAATCAGGCTCTACAACCAAGGTTCCTTCATCTGGATCATACATTACTAAGCTGGTCACAGGCCCTTCTTCGCACAACCGATCTGATGATTTGGGAGCCTAGCCAAGCACGTGGTCGAAACGCAACCGAAGTATGCATGCTACGCATAGGCAAGCATGACATCATGAGCGGCAAGACGGAGGCTATGATTTTTTTCATAGCCGTGATAAGTTTCGGGCTGGCTAAAGCTCTCAGATGGTGTGCCAAAAACATATAACATCCTCTGCCACTACCGGTGCATCGAGAACACTCATCGCAGACCTCCCTGTACCTGATTTAGATGCCCTCGAACCTTCCGACAAACCAGGCGAAGGTTCACCATCAGCAGTCAACCTCAATCACAGCAGAAACCCAGTCTTATTGACAGCTCGAGGTGACTTTTCCGAAGCCTCGGAGGCTTCCAGGCTTCGAATCAGCAGCTCGCGAAGATCCTCCGGTGAATGCAGCACCTGCAGCTCGGGTCGAGGGGTTGGGGGTTTCGGGGTGAGAAGCTCCTGGCGATTTCTGAAGTTTAACCCGGCGCCTTGCTTACTGGTGGAAGAGCCAGGCAAGGACTGGTATGGGTCTTGGCGCTCACACTCGGACAATCCAGGCGAGGCACGCGCTTCGAGATCTGTGGCATAGGCTTAGGGTCTTCAGTAGTCATGCTGGCTCCGTCCTTTCTGGTTGGGTTTTCCTTCTGGCTGGAAGAAGGCAAGGGTTTGGGATTCCGGGTTTGGCACCTCTCGCAACTCCGACTGCCAGGCTGTTCAGGTCGGCTGCAGATGTTTCGGGTTCAGGTCTTACCTATGTGCCTCCCACATGGCAAGGTGCTTTCTGTTAAAGTGAATACAGGGCGAGGAAAAAAGCATAACAGCATCTGGGGGGAGTGACCACCGATTCAATGAACGGAAGATGTGGACGCATGAAGACGCACAGGAACCGAACAAAACAACAAAACAACGAACTCGACACCCAAACATGGAATTAATTCAACTGGGATAGCTAAAATCGACCAGTCATGTACGGACCCCAGCCCCAACCCTGAATCCGGCTCTCATGCCTGGGTCAGCTCCTCGATGGACGTCTCCAGCGCCATGAACCGTGCAGCGCACCATGGCCGAGCGCTCGAAGCGGCATCGCGCTGGATCCGGCGTTTTGCGGGTCTTGGGGTCCGGTGCTCACCCTTGTCTGCTGCACTGCTCGGTCTAGCCCGATTCGGGGCGCGCGGCTTTGTACCCTAACTCTTCTTTTTGCAGCTGGGCTCTTGGTGTCAGCCAGCGAGTCTGCTTTGAAGCTCAGTTCTGCTGACTGAGGTTCCAAATGCTAGCGAGCCAAGCAACTGGAACTAACTAACGCTAGCGAGCCAAGCAACTGGAACTACCTATCTCTGCATGCACCCAAAACCCTTTAAACCCTAAACCCTTCAACCCTGAAAACTCAGGGTTTTTAGACTGTGCTTTTGGCACATATACATATGTAAATATTTGTGTATAGATATATATATATATATATACATATACACACATACATACATACATACATACATACATACATACATACTGTACATACATACATACATACATATGTTTTCCAGCATGTAGCCATAGATAGACAGAGAGGTTGATACTCAAATAGACAGACAGATGGATGAGCAGATCGGCATGCGGTGAAAATGCAAAACTAGAGCTCTACACCGACAGAGGATGTGAACTGGTAGGTACAGTACCAGGGAGATGCTGTTCTTGTGAAGGCTGGGCCCCTTCTGAAGCTGACGCCCGTCTGAGCAGCCCGATGCCGCCAGGGCTGCCGGGGCCTTCTTCTTGGTCATGGCGATGGACTCAGTTATTCCAGCCTGCGAAAAAGCATGGATGGGTTTCGGGTTTGGGGTTTAGGCCCTCGGAACTTCTTCAGGGAGCTGTTGAGCTCTTGGGGCAAAGCTGACGCTCACGCGAAGACATGTCTAGGCAGGCATTACGGCAACGGTCTGAAGATTTTATGCGAAAGGTACCGATGCCGGGGGTTCGCAAAAAAAGGCTGCAATGCGAGGCATCAAAATGCCGGCACTGCAGCCCTAAGGGCGCGCCGACACAAGCTGACGAACGCTACACGAACTAAGAAAACAAACAATGCAAAATAACGTCTGCACAACAAATCAATTAAACGGCCAGTTGGCCAGCTGGCAGCAGCTGGAAACACGTCTGTCTCAGAGCGGTTCCACGTGACACCTCAAGCCAGATGACATTCCAATCGTGAGCTGCGCATCTGGTAGAATGGTTTCCGGCGCCACTGCAAGACGGAAGTTGAAATTCCCGATGAGTGCGCACAGCATGCCCTTCATCTCCACCATCGCCAGGCGCTTTCCAAGGCATTCTCGTGGCCCTGCATGGAACACTGATGATTGTACATTATATACTATACTAATCTATCTATATACTTTTGATATATATATATATATATATTATCCTTCTATTATGTTTTGGGTCCTGCATGGAACACCGGGTTTTCGTAGGGCGACTTCGTCTCGAGCTCGAGCCATCTCTCGGGGCGAAAGTCAGAGGCATCGGAGCCCCAGATCTCCTTCGATCGGCCCATGGCATAGGACATGTAGATCCTGGGTTCTTGCTAAGGGACTTAAGTTAAGTTACCATTATAATTTAAGTTACCATAACAATTTAAGTTACCATAATAATTCAAGTTATCATAATAATTCGAGTTACCATTTTTTTAAGTTTTTTAAGTTACCAGAATCATGAAACCCTGCTATTTATTATAGATCCCGATCATGGTAACTTAAATAAAACCCTTGACAAGAACCGAGGCACAAGGCGGCTCCTCTTGGAACACGAGTCCCGTCGGGCAGTGTGTCGGCACTGGCCACGAACTTGGCATCTAAGGGCACCGATGGGTAGAGCCTCAGGCTTTCCCGCAGGGTAGCGTCCAGGTACCGAAGCTTGTTGAGCTTCTCATAGTCTAAGCCCTCGGCACCACAAACTTCAGAGATCTCGCTGCGGACCTTCTCTTGAACCCTTTCCGACTGCATCAGCAGAAACAAGCACCAGGACATGGCCTGCGCAGTGGTGTCCCTCCCCGCGATGAGGAAGTTCAAGACCATGTCAGTCAAGAATTCTGCGGACAGCGAGGGGTCACTCTTCATGAACAGGCCAAGGAAGCTGTCCCCAGCTTCAGTATCGAGATTCTGCGAAAGCTCGAGAATGATCTGTCGGCTGTACTCTTTCAAGATCTTGAAGTGGATCTTGGCCTTTCGCTCGAAACCCAGCCCAAGGAACCTCAGAAGACGCCAGCCTGGAAGCATAAAGCGCCAGAACAAGCTCCGCTGGGCCTCGTCGAAAGAGGTAAGGAACGGCGAGTCGGCATTTTCCAAGGATCCGACGGATGCTCCGAAGCCGATTTCCCCGATTGAATCCAGCGTGAAACGATTCAGGATATTGAACATGTCCACGTCCCCATCTGAAGCTCGCAGCAAGTCCAAGACCTTGCCACAATTCTTCTGGACGACTCTCCAAATGTGATTTTTGAAGCGGTTGGCCGTGAACATTAGCGAGGCTGTCTTTCTCTGCATGACCCAGTCCTCACCATCTACGTTGAATATGCCATTCCCAAGCAGGTCGTGAGCGATGGAATTGAAAAACTCACCCTTGGGGAAATTGTTGAAGTTCTGCTTAAGCATGTACTCGACATTTCGGGCATCACGAGTTATGACCAATGGCGTTACGAAGAACCGGAGTATACCAAACTGCAGGAAGATCGTGTTACCCTCTTGCTCATGCATCTGCGTGACCTCATCCAGGAAATTGTGCTTTCGGATTGCCGCCCAAAGCCTGGGCAGCACGCCCAAAAGACCCTCCCCACTGATCGCGCTGCATCCTTTGGGCTGACGCTGCCAGAGCGCAGCCACTGTAGCTGAAGCGAGACCCAAAGCCACGCATGAAATGCCAACAGTTGCCTCCCAACGTCTGGAATCCCAGTTTTTCATCACCGACAGACTCATGGCAAGCGTTGTTCAAGCTGCTGACCTCTGCAGCTGCAGCCTACCGAAGTGAGCCCAGACGGCTGAGAGTTGGGTGTTTGGAAGCAGACGTACCAAACCCACTCTGGAGAGTGAAGGGCCCCAAAGCTTTGGGAAACGGACCGATGCGGCCACACCATCGTGCTTCTTCACCTCGACCCACCTCGGAATCCGGAGCGAGATGTTCGATTGGTGACACACCTCTGGATGCTGCAATCGTCGGTGATGTCCCTGGCCGTCGTCATCGTCGTTGCAGTGTTTCTAGTAGCAAAGTAGCAGTAGCAGTGGTCGCCGTAGCAGTAACAGTAGCAGTGGCAGTTGTGGCTGTCGTCGTCGTCGAATCGCGGCAAAAACTAGCAGCTAGCAAAAAAATGGCTACAAAAACCATTCATGCCACAGCTTCCATCGACTGCAAGAACGAAGCTAAAACCAACAGAGCCAAGTATCTTGTTGTCGATCATGTGCTTTGCATGAGCCTGGCTTCGAAATGGAAGGGTCCACAATTGCATCGCTACCCTACACTAGCTGCAAGTCTTACAATATGTGTGGATCTCTGTGGCACTATATTTTTGCAGTTGCGGCCGTTCCTACCAGCGATGCCGCTAATACTTCTGCAGCCGTTGATCCTCGTGTCCTCTAAGCGCTCTGACTACTCGCGTTGCTGCACTAGTCTGATTGCATTCGCTACGTGCTCTTCGCTTGATACTGCTACTGCTACTGCTACCACCTCTAGCGCTACAGCTACCACTACTGCGACGACGACGACTTCTACTGCTGCAAATACTACTACTACTACTACTACTACTACTACTACTACTACTACTACTACTACTACTACTACTACTACTCCTGCTACTACTACTACTACCACTACTACTACTACTACTACTACTACTACTACTACGACTACTACTACTACTACTACCACTACTGCTACTACTACTACTACTACTACTACTACTACTACTACTACTACTACTACTACTACTACTACACTACTACCACTGCCACTGCCACTACCACTGCCACTACCACTACCAGTACTTCTTCTTCTTCTACTACTACTACTCCTGCCGCTGCTGCTGCTGTCACTGCCGCTGCTGCTGCTACCACTACGACGACGACTACGCTACTGCTCCCAGTCCCACTTCTTGCTTCCACTTCCGCTCCACCACTACAACCATACCGCCACCACCACTCCCCCCACCCCAACCTCGACCGTCACCCCCACCCCGACACCGAGCACTACCACTACCACTATGACTACCACTACTACTGCAGCTGCCGCTGCCGCTGCCACTGCCACTGCCACTCCACAGCCACTGCCACCACCACTACCACGTGAACGATTTACCTCTGTTGCTGGCACTAGCACTGCCTCTGTGACTCTGACTACCACTGCACGACCACTTCCACCGCCATGACCACCATCACCACCACCACAACCATAACCGCTGCCACTGTCGCTGCCACCCGACTGAAACCGCCTCTGCCACCCCCCGACTGAATTTGCTACCACCACTACACTAGTCCTGCTCCTGTCCGCTGCTACTGCCACTGCAGCTCGAACTCCGACTCCTACTCCTGCTGCTCTTACCGCTATCCCGCTCCTGCTCCTGATACTCCTGGTACTCCTGATACTCCTGATGCTCCTGCTGCTGCCGTTGCCCGCGCTACTACCTGTGTTGGGATAGTGTTGAGACTCCTGCTGGCGCTCCCTGCGTGCGCTGCGGCTACTTTATTGCTGCTACTGCTGCTGCCACTGCTGCTGCTTTCACCTGCTGCTTCTGCTCATGCCGCTGGCGTGAGATCACTACGACCGCGATACTGCCACTGCTGGTATGGCTAGTGCAAACGTCATTCTGGTGATTGTGCTCATAATTCATTGCTGCAGTTCTCCTAGGGTTACTGGTGCTTCTAGCACTTCTAAGACCAAAGCAATGCATGCACACCGTGCTCAGGATGTTTGATCACGTTCCAGAACTTGCATCGCAGCAACACGAAGAACCAAGGGAATCTTGAAAGGAACCCTGAACCCCTGCAGCAGAGTCAAAAAAAAAAGCGCGATCGGCCAAAGCAGGCCGAACCCGAAACCCAAAGCCATCGCGGTCTGCACCTCGATGACCTTGTCCACTGCCTCTGTGTCGGCGAACCTCGGTTCTTCTGCAATCTCGATCGTCGTCCGAGGCCCTTTTGTCTGTATCCACCTACCCATCCATCTATTCAGCTGCTCTCGTCTCCGCTTATCGATGGACTATTATTGTGTTTACTGCTGCTGTTGTCGTGAATATTGAGACTATTGTTTTTACTGTTATAGTTCTTGTTGCTGTTGTTGCTACTTTTTTTGGTATTGTGATCGTGATTGCAATTGCGATTGTGGTTGTGACTATGAGAAAAAAAGCTTACTAGATCTACGGTGAGCATCAACACAAATCATACAACGGTTCTTTTTGTTGTTATCGCTATTGTGATTTTGCGTTTCCTAGTAACAGTTCGTCATAGTAGTAGCAATAGTAGTAGTAGTAGTAGTAGTAGTAGTAGTAGTAGTAGTAGTAGTAGTAGTAGTAGTAGTAGTCGTGGTAGTAGTAGTTGTTGTTGTTGTAGTATAGTAGTAGTGTAGCAGTAGAGTGGTAGTAGTAGTAGTAGTAGTAGTAGTAGTAGTAGTAGTAGAAGTGGTACTAGTACTAGTCGTGGTAGTAGTAGTAGTAGTAGTAGTAGTAGTAGTAGTAGTTGGCAGGCACCGCTTGCCGGACCCACCTTCTTAGCATGTTTGAGGAAGATGATCAGAAGATGATGATGGATGCTTTCAGACACATTTTGGATCGGTTTGGGAGCGGGGGGAGGGGGGGGATGATGGCGACATTGTTACGCAGACACCCCGAACAATATCTCCAGAAGGGCTGTTTACTCGGGAGTTACAGTACTTTCGTGATGTCGGGCCATCTTATATAGCCACCAAATCTACTTCTGGACCTTGTGAACTCGACCTTGGGATTTCGGAGGGCTTTCTGCGAAAACTCGAACTTGGATGAGGGGAAGCTTGTTTCGGGGATGCTGACGACATTGTTTCGCGGGCATTTCGAACGATATCTCCACACCCTCGCGACCGCACACACCACACACTGCTTCAAAAACAGACCCTCCTGCGCTGAGGTCTGGGCTTTAGGGGTGGTGTTAGCGAGCCCCTTCCACGTACAGCTGGCATCTTTGTTTTTGATGTTTATAAGATGTTGCGCTTCAGGTTTTCCGAGTGTAAAACCATTTTGGCAGCACCTGTTCTGCATGGTATTTGCAGCGTTCAGAAGCTTCTTCTGCGTCGAGCTTGAAGACAAAAGTGCGGTCTCTGCGAGCTCCCAAACAACAGTTTAAGCCCCAACAACATACTTTCCGGCCACACTTGCACACTTCCATCAAACGAAGAAAAGAATGCGCGGCCGGGTCCACAACGCCAGTTTTGACACTAAGAACCGTACTTTCGGGGGCCGGAGCTGGTGCCCAAAAAAATGGAGTCAGCAACACCACAATGCAAGCCATTCAAGCGAGGAATCCTGCGGTTTTGGCCAACAATTTCCACACTTGCAACAAGCAACACGAATTCCTATTGCTCTAAAAGGGTGGGTCCCCTGTTGTGCCCAGTAGTTGTAGTTGCAATAGTGGTGGTAGTGGCTGTACTAGTACTAGTACTAATACTGGAAGTAGCAGCAGCAGTAGTTTTTGTCACCCACCTGGCAAACCTGTAACTCTGCGGGGACTAAAGAATCTACAAGTCACAACAGCAGCAGCAGCAGCAGCAGTAGTAGTAGTAGGGGCAGTGGTGGTGGTGGTGGTGGTGATGGTAAACTGTGATTATGACTGACATTGTAATTGTTGCTGTTGTCGTCGTTGTGGTAATGATAGTGGTGGTAGTGGTGGTAGCCGTGGCAGTGCTGGTTGTGGTTGTAGTGGTGGTAGTGGCCGTAGTGGTGATAGTGGCGGTGGTGGGGTGGTTGTGATGGTAGTGCTGGTAGTTCTGGTAGTGCTGGTAGTGCTAGCAGTGCTGGCAGTGCTGGCAGTGCTGGTAGTTCTGGTAGTGCTGGTAGTTCTGGTAGTGCTGGTAGTGCTGGTAGTGCTGGTAGTGCTGGTGGTGCTGGCGGTGCTGGTAGTGCTGGTAGTGCTGGTAGTGCTGGTGGTGGTGGGGGTGGTGGTGGTGGTGGTGGTAGTGGTGTTAGTGGTGGGAGTGGTGGTAGTGGTGGTAGTGGTGGTAGTGGTGGTAGTGGTGGTAGTGGTGGTAGCAGTAGCAGCAGCAGCAGCAGTAGCAGCAGCAGCAGTAGCAGCAGCAGCAGCAGTAGCAGCAGCAGCAGCAGTAGCACTGGCACTAGCACTAGCACTACTAGTAGCATTCGCACTCGTGCTCGCACTCGAACTCTCACTCGCACTCGCACCACTAGAAGTAGCGGCAGCGGTAGGCGTAGGAGCAGTCAGCAGTCAGTAGTACTACGTAGTAAGTAGCAAGTAGCAAGTAGTAAGTAGTAAATAGTAAGTCGTAAGTAGTCACAAGTAAGTAGACAGTTGTCAGTAGTCAGTGCGTGGTGACTAGTATGAGTAGTAAGTTGATTATCAGCAGCACCATTACAGACAGTATTATAATCGAGGTCGTCATTATCAAAGCCATGGTCTGAGTCTGCCGCTTGATGAAGGCGAAACCTCGCGATGTGCCATCGGGAAGGCGCTTGATGTCAACGTGTTCGACCTGCACCCGGCCAGCACAACCCATCAGCCATGTCAGGCGTCCACAGGAGAAAGCTGCTGCTGGTGGTGGCGGCATGTCGGTAATGCTGCGTGTCATGGCAGGATGACGAGAACATAGAGGTAACGATGATGAAGATGGTCATGATGACAATGCCTTCAATTTCGAAAGCCAGAAAGTGATGAAGATACAGGCGATTCGCGTAATCAGCCTCACGGCGAAGTTGATCCTGGAGGTGATTATGATGAGGTGATGACGGATGATGACGGGGGACGACGATGAACAACAGCAAGATGACAATCACAATCACCGCCACGGTTGTGATGACGATGATCTGGCTTGCCATCGATTGGTAAAGCGCAACAGTCGCCAAGCCGCTGGAAAGCTCCTAAGCTGCGAACCTGCCCAAACTTCGCGAAGTGGGCGGCCACTCTGTCCTCCTCGGTGGTTTTTCGCAAGCCTCGGGGCACACGGCCGTATACAGGTCCTGGGCTCCAAGGAACCTTCCAGATTGCTTTCGCTTTCGGCTTCGTGCATTTGCTGCCGACGGAAACCGCCTTTTCTGCCACAAATACTGCCAGAACGATGAGCAGGAAGAAAACGACTACACCGTTGAGCACAGGAGTCTACCTGGCACTCAATGGACGTACATGTGGTTTGCAACGAAAAACACGTGGGCGAGCGTCGCTGTGCCCACAAAGCCATGTCAAAACTCGGGATGGTCACAGCTTCCTAAGGCCGAAACCACCCACGAAGACGACGTTGGCATTGTCCTGCCACCGCAGACACATGTTGGTAAGTGCGCACCTCCACTCTCTGCAAACAGTGATCCCAACAAAACGTGTCTGAAGTTGCGATCAGCTACTCATACACCGAAATCCTCCCTGCTCGGTGACTCCAAAGCGTATTCCGCCCACGGCAATTTTCCAAAAGAAATTGAACCTTCGTCTCGGTGGCCACTCCTTCGACTTCTTCTTGGTTCCTTTCTCCTTGCTCTTCGAGGGCATGCCCATCCTGAGCCCCAGGTCTTCGCGACTTCTTCGTGCCCTTTTGGGGCCATACTAGTATCACATCAATATAACAGGTGCCGTGCCGAGTACCCCTCCAACCTTGACAAGAAGTTTTTTGCGGGGAGCCTTACCGCTACACCTGAACAAGCTTTCGGCGCTCACACTGGGACAATACACGCGAGACCCAGACCTGGACGAAGCTTTAGCGTTGAGCGGCTTGCGGCTAAGCGCAGGAGGGTCCAAAGCCCTCCCGAGAACTATACAACCTACGGAACCCCTTTCCTGAAGTCTCTAATAGCCTCTGTTTCTCATGAATCCGAGGCCAAGAGAAGGTGCGACCGTGTTCCAACTAGACCTGTGGAGCTTCAATCCTGAATGCACAGAGTTCCCGAAATCTCGCCGCCCTCTCTCTGAGCACCAGGCATCTCCTGCATCTTCTTCATCATCTGAGCAGATCTCCGATCTAAGATGCACCCTTGATGTAGACCGACTACTGAAATCTCTTTGTTTGAGGGTCCAAACAGCAGCAAAGTCAAGTGAGCTGTTTTGTACCCTTCTGGGTCTCCCATAAGCCTTCTGATGCAGGCTTGCTGGAGATAGTTGTGGGGTTTGCACGATGAAATTAAAAGCAGCCTACGGCCTTGTGATGCCGATATGGCGTTGAACCGGCAGAAAGCTCAGATCAGGACTGAAGACATGTCGCCCATCCCACCGCCGCCGCCCTAGGCCACATGGCAGTGTGGAGATTCAGAGCTCAAGAGTAGTATGGGGACAAACAAACCGTCCCACACCACCATCATCATCACCATTGGAGCTAGACAGCATGTTGGAATGAAGCCAGCCGACGCATGTCCGCATAGCCGTGAGACTCCCGAAGGTCGGGCTGGGCAGCCGCTGGAAAAAAGAAGGCTCTGGATTCCAGTTTCAGGGGCGAGCTTGGGGATTAAGATTTTCGGAAGTAGGGAGTTTGTCAGAGTTTTGGACAGCCATACACAGACCCTGCACATCCTGCATGCTCGAGGGTGATGACAGGGACCTAAGGCCAGATTGTGACTTCACACAGTTTGCACAGCTAAGGGGCCAGGGTTCAGGGTTCAGGGCCTTTAAGCTGTTCCGGGCGAGAGAAGCCTGCTGCCAAAGTCTTTACGCTTCAGGGCTTCGGGCTCTATAGGGCGAAGTTTCGGAGTAAAGACTAATTGAAGCCGAGGCGCCATCGTCATCATGGGCATCATCATTGAGGACATCTGCGCCATCTGCCAGATCGGACAGCTCGTGCTTCGGTACTTTGGGTGAGATCTGGGCTCTCGGAACAGGGAGACCCCAATATAGATTCAATCAGCATCCCGAAGTCCCCAACAAAGGATCCCTAGGACCCTAGGACTTAAAAACCCCATCCAGCCTCTGGCATGTCAGGGCTCTTAGGTAGAAGGGCCCTCGCAGCAAAACCCTTCTGAATGCTGGCACGCACTCCACAGCTGCACGTCTTTCTGAAGAAGTGTTCCGTCAAACTTAACGACGAACCCCCGACGAATCAGGTAAATCGGCACGCGCTGCTGCATGATGCATGTTGCCATTTTATCATGTCTTCTTCTTTTGTCTCAGAGTATGACTTCAGACATGGCATGGGTCCGGCCATCGTCAGGCTACTTTAGCAGCTTTAGCATCGTGCACCTGCTGCTGCATCATGGCGTTGGGTTGCATCATGCCCCTGGGCTGCTTGCTCAGCCGAGATTCACCAACCATTCACAGCTTGATATGCACACTTGACGAAAAGGGCCAAGCTTCGGGTCAAGCCCACTCTGTGCAGCTGAGGGGCATGTTGCCGCCACAGGCGCCACCGCCGCAGGCAGGCATGGCCCCACCACACGCGGGCATGGCCCCACTGCAACCACTTCCACAGCCACCGCACCCTCCACAGCCACAGCCTCCACACCCCATTCCGCAGCCTCCCCCACATCCACCGCATCCGCCTGTGGAACACACATTCACGTCTGGGATCGGGAGGATGCGACACCCTACAGCCACATTGGTTAACTAAGGACTTGCCACTGGGGCCCTGGCCCATCTTCATGCCTGGCATGCCACAGCCACCTTCAAGAGATCAGCCGAGGGCTACATACACAGCGCTCCTTCTCAGATGCTGACCTACTGTCAATCCATAGCCAAGAGCATGTCGGTTACTGTGAAAAAAATCTTCTGGCGTTCTGGCTACGATTAGTGCGACTCCCTATCTGATCTTGATGCCTTCCACGAAGGTTCTGAGGAAATTCCACCAACACATCTCACAGCGCCGCCACGCTCTTGCAATGGATACTGCTAGTGTATTTTCCCACGAGCATTCCGAATGAAACATCAGCACCATCGTCATGGCAGTAAGCACGGTAGCAATAGATATAGGTTCCAATGACAAAATGTGGATTTTTGCGCATGCCAGAAGTGATCCCTGAATACAGGTCGACGCTGGCAGCTCTGCTGTTTTGCTCGGGTTCGGTGCGGCCCTTTGGTTCTGCAACCCATCGCTGGGTAGGTGCTACAGCTTTTCACCCATCTTCCAGCGCATTGTTGGGTCCCTTTCTTGCAGCTGTGCCGACTATAGCAATGCTAGTACTATGGGCCCGGCAGTACAGGCAGCAGTAGCAGTAGCAGCAACAGCAGCAGTGTAGCATTGCAGCAGCAGCAGCAGAAGTACTTTTTTTGCCTCCTGCATGGCTGAGTACACGAAGCCGGGAGATTACTGAGGTGATTTACTCGACTCAGGATTTCAGCTCAAGTTCCGAATGCAACATCATGCAAGCAAGATGTCTCACACTGCCCTACCGGCAGCGTTTCCAAATTACCCATAGTCACTTCAGCACAATGCCGGCGCTTGCAGGTCAATTATTAATTGACTTTGCAATGTTTGACAGCCAAATTTCCAATTGACACGCATTCTGCTCTTAATTACGTCAGACTCTCAGGCATAAGTGTGGCTGTCAGTCGAAATGGCATGTGTAGGGAGATGCTGGTACAGTAGAGTCAGTAGAGCTCGCTCAAGCAATACTGTATTTCAGTACACATTTGCCTTACTTTCAAGTGTCAGACAGTGTTCGCGCATCCCGCACTTTCGCGAGTTTTGCGCACATCCTGTTCTCAGCTCCCAAGTTCCATCACACCATGCAGCACAGAAAATGCATCGCAGTGCAGCCCATTCGCGACCACTACCTCTCAAGACTGAACAGCAGGAGCACTGGCAGCAGTAGTTGTCGTCATCGTCGTCGTCGCTGTCGTAGTGCAGAGTCTCTGTCGCCGTTGCTCACCGACGAACTTCTAACAGCGCTCGGAAGGCAGGCTGCCAAGCAAGGGAGATCTACTGATCTCTACACAAAACAATCACACTCATTTTCTATCTTCACTACTTGCTCCTGTACCCAGCATGCCACAGCCAAGGGATCGCCTCCGCAGCCGCCGCAGCCGCAGCCCCCGCAACCACCGCAGCCACCGCAGCCCATTCCGCCGCCCTCGGCGCGAGAATTGTCATGAGAAGTTCACATCACGGTAAACTTTTCACGTCCACTCTCGTCGTCCTTCACAGCTTGCCTTAGGTGACTGTACTTCTTTGGTTTTCACCACCCAGTAAGGTAGGCGAAAGCGTACAACAAGCTTGGTGTCGTGACGGTGCCATGCTTTCGACATCTTTCGACAGTGCAGCCTACTACAAGTCGCACTGCTGCTGCTGGATCGTGCGAACCAGAGGCGCATGCTGTACTCAGGCCGTGGCTCCCATCATCGGATTCATGGGGTTAACTAAGATGCCCGCCTGGGAGTCCGGACTGGGGCATGCTGGAGCTAGCTTGCCGTGCATCTTCCGGGGTGCGGCTTCAAGCTACCCAACGTTCCTCAAGCGTTTTGAAACAACTACATTTGACCTCATGACAGCAGCACCGTTAGCATCGCGATTGGCACCGCAGCAGAGGCAGTAGCTCCAGCACGAGTAGAAGCAGCAGCCCAGCCGCCATCATCACCAGCAGGAGGGAGGAGTGTAAGCAGCAGTAGCAGCACAACTACGTGAGCAACAACAGCAGCGGCAGCAACAACAAAAGCGATTTCAAGAAACGGGATCTGAAACATGATGAAGATAACCATGCAGTAGGCGATGTCCCATGGCCATGCTCTAATCAAGATGGGGTTAAGAATTGGACCAGGACGGACAGAGGAACGAATGCGACTATGGTGCTGACGACGATGGCCAAATGATACTGCTGAGGTTCAAACTGGCTTTAAGAGCTGCAACGAAGAAGGTGCTGGGGAGGCTATGAAGGAACCAACGACATCGGCTTCACCATGACTACCCCGCCAACCCACAATCATCGCCAGCACTATAACCAGCATGATCATCCCCACCGTGTTCATCCCGATCATAATCTTTTCGCCGTAAGCCTCCCAGTGTCGCCAGCATTATCAGGAACGTAAAGTCAAAAGCAGATTCATCTAAAACTCGTCAGCATCACCACCCTACCGTGAATATCGACAGCGCCACCAAAAGCACCATCATGATCAGCCTATACCAGCATGAAACTCTGCATTACATTATCATTACCATGGCCATCACCGCTACATTACTATCACCACCAGCAACACGGGAATCACAATCAGAGTCTTGACAAGTATCTAGGAGTATCAATTCATTTTATCATCCCCATACACCCCGTGTGAAAGAGGCACCTGGGCCACCGCGCGCCTGCCGCGCCCTGTGACCCCGGGTCTCTGCCGGGTTCCCCTCTGCCCTTCGAGCCAAAAGAAAAGTAGTGACATGAATACTGAGGATTGTATGGGGGGCTGCTTCTGTTTGTTGAGGAGCCCACCGCTTCAGGTGAGTTTGAGTCCACTCCCACACATCGTTTCAGAATCCGCACTGAGATCAACAGCTGCACACACCACCACACGGAACACCTTAAGCCATGATAGATTTTGGAACCGTCTTCGAAGCCAAGCGATTGGGTTAGTTCGGACACCTCCGAAGAGAGCGGCTACAACAAGGTGCTGTTTTCCGGTTGGCATCGGAAGTGGCGGATTTGCTGAGTGATGTGCCGAGCCTGGAGGCATGTCCATAGTGTGTCCAGGACCTGTGTGACGCCCGGCCCGTGCCACTGCAACGAGAGAACAAAATCAACCGGCGATGGATGCAGCGGGATAGCCCATCGTAGTTCCAGAGACTTCCCCCGCTGTCGTCCTCGCCATGCTGATGCTGCCGCAGCTGCCTTTAGCAACCCTGCGGGAGCAAAAGAAAAACCTCCAGCATACCTGTCGATCCGCGCGCGGTTAAAGATACCCTGCAACAGACCAACGTGGCCCGGGCAGGCAAGCGCAAGTGCCCAGGCTCGGTGTGCAGTAACTGTACATGTGCTGCTCTACTTGCCTCACTTCACCATCTGCTTCACCTTAGACGCAAAGACTTTTCCTTGGCGGCGTGCTATTTTCAGCTCCGTAGCACTGGCCTGGCGGCTGCCATCTGCGCCGGCAAATGTGCTGGCACCCCAGGGTGAGCCTCCGTGAATCTCCGTCATGTCGAACTGACCGTCGCCACCTGCCTGGTAGCCTAAGGGTACATAGATCATGCCGTGATGCACCATGTTGGTCATCGTGGTCATGTGGGTGGACTCCTGGCCACCGTTCAGGGTGCCGGTGCTGCAGAAGCTCCCCGTCAGTTTCCCTGCAAGCGCACCACTCTGCCACAGTGAGCCAGTGCTGTCAAAGAAAGCCTTCATCTGGGCTGACGCACTGCCGAAGCGGGTGGGGATACCGAACAAGATGCCATCATAGTCTGCCAGCTGCTGGACCTTTGCATGATCCATGACCGCGTCCGACGGCTTTGCAGGAGCTCCCATCTTCTTGAGCACGTCAGCACCCAGAAGCTCCGGTGCTTGAAACATGTCCACACTTACGCCCTCCTCCTTCATAGAGGCAGCGATCTCATCAGCCAGCTTCTTGACGTGGCCGTACATGCTGTAGTAGACAATGCAGACCTTCGCCTTCTTTGATGCTGCTGGCGCAGTCGTGCGCTTCACAGCAGTGCCGAAGACTTCGCCCTGCTTCTGAGCGATCTTCAGTTCCAGTGCCGATGGCTGCCGGCTGCCGTCTGGTCCGGCCAAAGTGCTGGCACCCCAAGGAGATCCGCCGTGGATCTCACTGAGATCAAACTGGCCTTCGCCGCCTGCCTGGTACCCCAAAGGGACATAGCACATACCATGGTGCACGAGCTGTGTGACGGCGGTAAAGTGCGTGGTCTCTTGTCCCCCTTGCTGCGTGCCGGTGCTCACGAAGGTGGCGCCCAGCTTTCCTGCCAAGGCCCCATTCTGCCAGAGGCTCCCAGTTCCGTCAAAGAAGGCCTTCATCTGCGAAGCCATCATGCCGAAGCGAGTGGGCATGCCGAACATGAAGCCATCATACTTCGGCAGCTCGGACAGGAACGCACGCTCCAGAAGCATCACATCTGCAGGCTTCTCCGGGGCTCCCATAGCTTGAAGAGCCGAGGGCGGCAGGGTCTCTGGCACCTGAAAGAGGTCCACACTGACACCCGTGGACTCCAAACCCTTCTTGAGCTCGTCTGCCATGACCTTCACGTGGCCGTAGGTGGAGTAATAGACGATTGCCACGCTCGGGCCCGTCGCCTTCTTCATGGGAGGAAGGCCCCGCTGAATGGCCACCTCTGCACCCACCACGGGAGACTCGGAGCAGGCGTTTCCCATTCTGATAAGTGACGCAGAGACGGGCGGAAGCGGAAGCGGCGAGGGCGAGTGAGGCTTCGAGCACTGAGCTTGCAGCGAATTGGCTTCAAGGAGGATGGTGTCTCTCTGTCGCACTTGCATCACGAGCTAGTCTCAAGCATCTGCTGCACGCTTTGTTCTCCCGCTCGGAGACCCTGAGTGTCTGAGCGAATTACACGCAGGAAATTCCCGAATTATCTGCCACTCGGATGCCCAGCAAAGAGGGGCCCTCTGCGAGCATCCGGAAAGGCAGAGGTCGCCAGAAACTGACGTAGACCAGCTTGCTGCCGATCAGATCAGAGCCCAATGTCCCATGTCGTCATGCCTTTTCACTTGGAGGGTCTGCAACAGAAACCCAAATATAAATTCTACACTCGCTTGTCTATTCGTACTTCACTTGCCTGCCAGCTCTAAGGCGAAGGAAGCAGCAATGGGAGAGGGATCATGAATGGCTCGTTGGTCCTACGAAGCTCGCCGACATCTCCGGGTCAGATAGCACCTCATACAACAAGCAACTATGGTGCAGTCCGCTCTTGTCAAGCTTCGACCCAGGCCACCTGCGAGACTGTCCGCTCACAGCTTTGGGGAGAAGGCTCCAAAAGCTGTTGCGATTGCCTTAGCCGGCGCCATCCGAATCTTGACAGTAATGACAGGATGCTCCCACACACGAGCTCAAAAAAAACTCAAGGACGAGCTCAAAAAAACTCAAGGATTCCAGCCAACTCTTTTCATAAACAAACAAGCAAGCTAAAGGACGACATGCCGGTCCCAGGGAGAGTCATCGAAAGAGTGGAGATGAGGATCCTCTGACCGGAAATAGCCTAGCAACTACGACTGCTTGCCTAAGCTCGACGCGCTCATGTGTGCCCGAAGGCTGCAGAGCTCGGCCTGCAGATCGGATTTCAATGGAGACAACTACAACCACTACCGGACTATTCCTTCCACTGCTGTTACCGCAAACACCTGAACTTCGCCACCACCGCTGCTTCTACCGCCTCTTCGCTTATGAGGGGACTTCACGAAACGACACCACCGCCCGGAATTCAAACTCTCCTGCCTGTAATCCTTGGATGACCTGCTCTTGAACGGCCACTCGCCGCTCCAGGTCCGCCACACGGCTGCCTGGCTTCACGCTACAAACCAAGTCCAGCGCCGGGGCTAAGACTCTCAAGAGAGCTGCCTCACTGCTGGTATCTGCTAGTGTCATTCTTGCAATGATCGGTACTACTCGCGCTAAAACTCATGCACCCTTGTAGAACTCAAAACCCCAGAATTGCTGGACTCCAACCTGCCATCACATGAGGCATGGGGTCGTTCCCCGAAGCGGAGCATGCCAGTTTGGAAATCAAAGAGCCCGTTCAAGGCAGGCTGCGAACATGCATGTGGAAAAGTCCAGCGAAAGACTTACCAATGACACCAAACCGCGCGGACAGCCTTAACGAAGTTACGTGAGCCTCAAGTTCCAGTCTCGTACAATTCTGGATGTGCGGGTACCCGTCTCCAAAACTCCAACCCTATGCATTGGGTTTACAATTTAACGTTTAGGTTCCACGGCCGATGTAATTGGGCCTTCTGTCAGGGCAACGGATGCGCCACAGATTTGGGGAACCTCGGTGGTCATGGTCATGCCAACCGAGTGCATAGAAACAAACATGCAAGCACAAGAAGCGCATTAAATCTGTCAAACAAGCAGGGCTTGTCTCCTTCCTCTATGACTCTATGCTATCATCATAGCATGTGCACGTAGGGATCATAGCATGTGCACGCAGGGATGCCGACAAGCATTGTCCTTGGATCCTGCATAAACGAGTTCAACTCTCACAAGTGGCCCAGGTATGACCGGTGGCTTCACATGGAGGGTTTTCTTGCGGGTCCCATGCGGTCTCTTCTTGAGGGTTCTGAAAACATTGGCAATCCTAAAGCTTCTTGCGCCGGGACTCTAGCATGAGCCTCTCGGAAGGGCTGGGCAGATCAGGTACCAGCAAACTCGAAAGCTTCAACTGAGAACATAATGAACCGTCTCGTGGTGCTCGGCACCCAAGCCCTCGACGCTTTAGCGAGGTGCAATTGCTAATGCTGACCACGTCTGAATCCACAGCCCCTGGTAAGAAGCATCAGTTTCTTCTTCAGCTTCTACATTACCGAGTCCGTCCTGGAACGCATCCATGCAGAAGAAGTGGCAAAGAGCTGGAGGCCCTGGAAGACCAGGGGGACGTAGGCGTGGCGACACCCGCGATCCTCCTGTGTAAGCTCCGTTTCGGGTTGCTTTTGCTGACACAGCTCGGTAGGCATGGCGATTGTTGTTTTTGGGTTTGTGGCTCCACTGACCGGGGATCAATTCTAGTGTCTCTGGCAGTGCTAAGGAACCCACTTTGGATCAGCACCACCATCGTCATCAGAAGAATAGCCAAGCAAGAGAATCAACATTATGCATGTATTGGCTGCTGATAATATGACAGGTTTGTCGCGGAGTTTTGGCACATCTTGGACCATCTCGTCAAGTGCGTGCGAAGGTCATGCGCCGGCTTGCATCTGTAGGGTCACTTGGCCATGTATAGATGCACAGAGGCATGTACAGAATATTCACTTACGCCACGTATACATGACAAATACATGCATATGCATCTATTTATTTATAAATATATATATATATATATATATATATATATACGAGCACCATACGTTTAGGGACTATTCACCTGGGATTTGTAATATGCATATCTAATATTAAGGTTCAACGAGCCGCTTGTAATCATATTAATTATTTGGTAATTATTCCATATTTGTCAACTTCTTTAATTATCCCACTGTATAAGCAAAGAATGGAGTCGTTAAATGAACCCTAGAGGTATCTCTCTCATACATATGTATAGAAAAACCATCTTTCTATCTATCTATGTAAGCAAGCATGCATGTATGTACGTATGTAAACACATGTATATGTATGTTTGTGTGTATATACATACATACATACATACATACATACATATATGTATATGTTTCTATAACGATTGTACTTTTGTTAAAATGTGTTTTAATATATCGTCTCTATCTTCTTGTATTGTATTCTGGTTTGCTTCCGCGCTTCATATGATGCCTCTGATCTTATGATGTGTTGCGTTTTCAGTGTGTGTCATACTCTGTTTATTATACACTATATAAAATCATATTAGATGTAACTACTATACTACGTTAGACCATCTTTATACTATGGTATGTTATAGAATAGTATGCATTTCCAGACACACATGTATATATGTTGCATATATATATACATATACATAGATATGCATGTATATGCAAATGAATATGTGTACATGACAGTATAGATACATGCATATGCAATCATGCGATCTGTCTGGAACATTGAGCCCGTACTCGGATTCGATTCCATCGAAGCCTCCAACTACTTCGCACTCTGGTTCCCAAGGCCTCCAACATTTTGTGCCCAAACATTTCTTGCGCTGCATCGCCGATAACCCTAGATAGCAAAAGCAGCTGCAACAGTGGAGCCGCACTGGGAGTAGAAGCAAACACGCAGATTCCACAAAAAGTACACGGATTCCCAATGCGTGGACACACAGATTCACCCCTGCGCACCTGCAACTCAAAGCGTAGAAACTCCCCGCACCGGCCGCTTGCAATGATCTCCTCATGCACGGGCTATGGGGTTTGGTCCCGGGCCATCTGTCATCCTCAAACACCTCTCAACCGTTGACTTTGAGCGTGAAGGACCCTTCGAAACAACCTCAAGATTGTTATGTGGCTCCGGACTGCGCGCATGCGACAAACCTGGTGGTGGGGGTGCCAGCAGCGGTGCCGGGAGTGCTGCTTGTGGGTAGTACTGCTGGTGGTGGTGCCAACGACACAATGGCACAGTGTGTTCCCATGCTTTGTCACAATTCTAGCGGCTGCTAGCTGCTGCTTGCGGGAAGTGATCAGCCGATCAGCCAACCGTAAACCCGATTGGTTGGTCGGCTGATCGCCTGATTGGCTGATGGGCTGACTGGCTGATGCACAGCGAGCGACCCGACTTTGCGAGAACAACAATGAAAACTGAGACGGATAGTGCTAGATTCAACTGGCATCAGAAGATGTATACTTGACAAAAGCACGGGTTTCTCTTCAAGAGCCCTCCCAGAAAGGGCCAGGTGACAAGGACTGTGATCTCGGGTGGGGCTTGAGGAAATGGAGGCAAGGTGCACATTCGACTCAAACCGCTCTCAAACACGTGCATAGTTGTCACCAAGCGTCTGTGCCGAACGGTAGACATGTCAAAAACTCGCTTTGCTGTGTCGGTGAAGATCGCACTGCCACGGTGGCATCCTTCGGAAAGGCGTCGGAACACACAAACCGCTTGGGAGGGTTGTAGATCTCGTCTAACATCACTTCGCGATGAATCTCATCGATGGGGGTCTTGTCCACTTCAGCGCAGGGCAGATCTCCTATGCTTTCCGTCGGCTGATCCCCGGCGTCGTGCTTCGGACTGTTGAAGATGGTAAGGGCTTCCTTGAAAAGAACGGTCCCAACTGCACGGGCCTGGCTTTTGGCTCCGCCCTTGGTCAGCAAAGCTCTCCGCAAAGCTTCCAAGCCTGGTCTCCGGGACTTGTCCACCATCCTTTGCAGACCATCTAGCCGGTCTGCGCTGAGACAATTGTGATAGTTCGCACCAGTCGACACCACTTCGTGCAGCACAGACCGGTCAACCAGCGACAATATGGAATGGGCTGCAGCTGCTGCGTCCCCATGACCATCTGCCCACCACTGCTGGAATCGACTGATCTGGTTGGTCTGCTCGCAGATTGCCGCTTCGGTGGACAAGCTTGCAAGGCCTTCTTCGGCATCTGCTGGCTTCACCGCTTGTTGTTCCACGAACAGCACGAGATCGCCAAGCAGACGTGGCACCCACGCCAGGCGTGACACGCCCTCTGCTGCCGCGTCTTCCAATCTGAACTGTAAATATGAATTGCGGGATCCAGTTGCTAAGATCTCTGCGCCATGCGGCAAACTTGTCACAAGCTCTCCTGCCATGTCAGGGACAACTCGCACTGCCACGGTGGCATCTTTCGGAAAGGCGTCGGAACACACAAACCGCTTGGGAGGGTTGTAGATCTCGTCTAACATCACTTCGCGATGAATCTCATCGATGGGGGTCTTGTCCACTTCAGCGCAGGGCAGATCTCCTATGCTTTCCGTCGGCTGATCCCCGGCGTCGTGCTTCGGACTGTTGAAGATGGTAAGGGCTTCCTTGAAAAGAACGGTCCCAACTGCACGGGCCTGGCTTTTGGCTCCGCCCTTGGTCAGCAAAGCTCTCCGCAAAGCTTCCAAGCCTGGTCTCCGGGACTTGTCCACCATCCTTTGCAGACCATCTAGCCGGTCTGCGCTGAGACAATTGTGATAGTTCGCACCAGTCGACACCACTTCGTGCAGCACAGACCGGTCAACCAGCGACAATATGGAATGGGCTGCAGCTGCTGCGTCCCCATGACCATCTGCCCACCACTGCTGGAATCGACTGATCTGGTTGGTCTGCTCGCAGATTGCCGCTTCGGTGGACAAGCTTGCAGGGCCTTCTTCGGCATCTGCTGGCTTCACCGCTTGTTGTTCCACGAACAGCACGAGATCGCCAAGCAGACGTGGCACCCACGCCAGGCGTGACACGCCCTCTGCTGCCGCGTCTTCCAATCTGAACTGTAAATATGAATTGCGGGATCCAGTTGCTAAGATCTCTGCGCCATGCGGCAAACTTGTCACAAGCTCTCCTGCCATGTCAGGGACAACTCGCACTGCCACGGTGGCATCTTTCGGAAAGGCGTCGGAACACACAAACCGCTTGGGAGGGTTGTAGATCTCGTCTAACATCACTTCGCGATGAATCTCATCGATGGGGGTCTTGTCCACTTCAGCGCAGGGCAGATCTCCTATGCTTTCCGTCGGCTGATCCCCGGCGTCGTGCTTCGGACTGTTGAAGATGGTAAGGGCTTCCTTGAAAAGAACGGTCCCAACTGCACGGGCCTGGCTTTTGGCTCCGCCCTTGGTCAGCAAAGCTCTCCGCAAAGCTTCCAAGCCTGGTCTCCGGGACTTGTCCACCATCCTTTGCAGACCATCCAGCCGGTCTGCGCTGAGACAATTGTGATAGTTCGCACCAGTCGACACCACTTCGTGCAGCACAGACCGGTCAACCAGCGACAATATGGAATGGGCTGCAGCTGCTGCGTCCCCATGACCATCTGCCCACCACTGCTGGAATCGACTGATTTGATTGGTCTGCTCGCAGATCGCCGCTTCGGTGGACAAGCTTGCAGGACTTCGTTCGGCATCTGCTGGCTTCACCGCTTGTTGTTCCACGAACAGGACGAGATTGCCAAGCACACGTGGCACCCACGCAAGGCGTGACCCGCCCTCTGCTGCGGCGTCTTCCAAGCTGAACTGTAAATATGAATTGCGGGATCCAGTTGCTAAGATCTCTGCGCCATGCGGCAAACTTGTCACAAGCTCTCCTGCCATGTCAGGGACAACTCGCACTGCCACGGTGGCATCCTTCGGAAAGGCGTCGGAACACACAAACCGCTTGGGAGGGTTGTAGATCTCGTCTAACATCACTTCGCGATGAATCTCATCGATGGGGGTCTTGTCCACTTCAGCGCAGGGCAGATCTCCTATGCTTTCCGTCGGCTGATCCCCGGCGTCGTGCTTCGGACTGTTGAAAATGGTAAGGGCTTCCTTGAAAAGAACGGTCCCAACTGCACGGGCCTGGCTTTTGGCTCCGCCCTTGGTCAGCAAAGCTCTCCGCAAAGCTTCCAAGCCTGGTCTCCGGGACTTGTCCACCATCCTTTGCAGACCATCTAGCCGGTCTGCGCTGAGACAATTGTGATAGTTCGCACCAGTCGACACCACTTCGTGCAGCACAGACCGGTCAACCAGCGACAATATGGAATGGGCTGCAGCTGCTGCGTCCCCATGACCATCTGCCCACCACTGCTGGAATCGACTGATCTGGTTGGTCTGCTCGCAGATTGCCGCTTCGGTGGACAAGCTTGCAGGACTTCGTTCGGCATCTGCTGGCTTCACCGCTTGTTGTTCCACGAACAGCACGAGATCGCCAAGCACACGTGGCACCCACGCCAGGCGTGACCCGCCCTCTGCTGCAGCAGAATCAGTCAGCCGGATTTGCAAGTATGATCCCGCCCTTGCTGTGGCCTGTACTTCCGACCCGAACGGTAGTGTGGTCACTAGCTCGCTGTCTGGTGTCGGTGCGGTCCGCACTGCCGCCGACGATGTCTTCGGAAAGGACGGTGCGCAAACGAAAATCTTCACTGGATCAAAACATTCGTCGAATGTCTGTTGAGTCGGTGGTGCAGGTGAGAAGAGGGGAAGCCCATCAAGCTGTCGAAGAACGAAGCCCAACTCGGTACTCCCTGTCCCCAATGTCTCGGCGACCTTGCACTGGATGTAATTTCCACAAGTGCCGGTGGCCAAAACCACGGAACCACAGGCAATACACCCGAGCAGCTCGCTGTCCTGTCTAGGTCCGCTTCGTATGGCGGCCGTGGCTTCTTGAGGAAAGGACTGTGAATTGATGAAAGGCTTCGGAGGGTCGAACACTTCGTCCAAGACCCAATCGACGCTGGCTTGCTCCGCAAAGCTGTAATCACGCGGTTCCTCGAGCACGGTCGAAACCCTTTCTGCGGCAACATGGTTTCCCGATGTGGCATCAAACATGTTCATCGCAGTGCTAAAGAGTACACCGCCCACCTGGGTTCCACCGACAGAAACGCAAGGGCTTGACCGAAGTCACTAGGACAACCCATAGCAGCTCTAAAGCATGCGCACACGTTCATTGCCGCAAAGAAGCTGCTCGCGCCTGGTTCCGAGCTCCACCCTTGCTGCGAAGCGCCTTCTTCAAAGGCTCCAGGGCTGCTACGTCTCCTGTAGAGCCTTCCACCCGATTCAACAACTTGTCCAGCTGCTCAATACCTGATAGAGCACTCAGATCCAAGTATCAAAAACGCTGCTGGCACGTGCCCGGGGCGCCTAAGCAGTTGTGATACGCCGATCCGGAAGATATGACAGCCTTAGCTCTTTCAAATCTCCTTTGTGTCCAACATACTCATATAAGAACCTAACTTGGAAATTTCAATATCTGCACCCCAGCATGACACGATCCGCAGACACAGTCCAATTCGTTGTTAATAGTTTGCTCGGGTTCGTACATGATCCCTTGTACCGGAAACACATCACCGGGCATGTTGTTGAAACCGATGACAGTGCGACGAAAACGAACAAACATCGTTGAATCAGGGCATCTTGCCACAAGTCTTTCATACTTGCTGAGTTCAACGATGTGTCACGAACCGGCGCTTGGCGAATTGCCGTTACTACGATGGCCACAAGATGCCGTCCAGGGTCTGCCAAAACCGAGCCGTCGACCTCAGCCAAATTTCAAAACGGCGTCATTCGAGGCCGCCACGTCTGTGTAGAAAATCATGGCTCGGTTCTGAGGACCGAGCCAAGGATAGTAGAGGATGCGCTGCCATTGCAGCATCCCCGTGTCCTGATGCCCACCATTTTTGGAATTCTTGGATCTGCATCTGCTGGCGCGATATGGCGACCGACCTGGCTTCCCGATTTTGCCAACAAAAAAAAGCACACAAACACAAACGCACACAAACGCACACAAACACACAAACACACACACACACACACATATATATATATATATATATATATATATATATATATATATACATTGTATATATACAATCACACGTACACATTTGTATGTACACCTGCGCCATTATACATGTATACACAGATACATAGGTGCATATATATGCAAATACATACATACTAAGATATACAAGTACATAGATACATCGACACACAATACATACGTATAAATTACTTGCACGTAGATACACATGGATACACATTGGTATCATAGGTACACAAGATACACATAATGCACATAGACGCATATATTTTACATATGTATACGTATATATACATGTACACATACGAAACAAACATACGTATTATTACACACTTTCACCTTCATTTTCATTTTCATGTTCACCTTCACTTTCACCTTCACTTTCCACGAGGCAGAAGCGTGCGACGGTGCTACGATACGAACCTGGACAGGCCTAAGGCCCGGCTCGGCTGTGTATGATGTACGCATCCTCCACCCAACCACCTGGGAACGGTGCTCCTCGGCACCTATGCCCTCAAAGCAGGAACAGCCATCAACACCGCTCGTACACGAAAACAACATCTTCAGGACGCCGCGAACAAATCGTCGCCGAGCTGGCCACAGCAAAATCTTGGATTCCGGCGCCTCCATGGGCGCGCGCCTTTCTGCTCCCTCACATGTGTGCTGTCACGAATGACAGTCCGCAATGTTTGTACCGCATACTGATTCCACAGCGGGTACAGCGGAGCCTCAGAAATCGCCGGCAGCAGATGAAATACGCATGACGACTGTTTGCCCGTGCATTGGCAACAGAGAACGACTGTGCTGAACAGTTGTCATCAGTGATCCACACATTGGGTCTGTCTTGCCCGGGCCGAGCAAGCAAACGGTAGTGCCCCCGATGCAATTGCTCACCAACATGAAGTGCCATTGCGAAGACCTGATAAGGCTGCCAGTGCAATCCAGTGCGCTGATAGCGTATCCGATTCAAGAAACACCGGGAATGTCACAGTTTCAAGCCAATCAGGCAGCGATTGGGTGACCTTGCCAAGGCAGCCCTTCGCACCACGGCTCTCGCGAGAGAGGTGTAGGCAGAGTCTGAGGCGGTGCGGTGATGCTGGGAATGCCACGCTTGCACGAAATGCTGTAGTCCTCACTCGGAACATCAAAAGTAATCGGGAGGGCGGCATCAACACTACTGCAAATCACTATGCCGATATCCCCCACGGGTTTGCCAAGGACTCTTGAACTCATTAAAAAGGCTCCACCGCCCCCCTGTTTCGGTGCCGAACACAACGAGTCGGCAACGGCGTGCACGGAGCAGCTCCGGGTAGGTTTCCCGTCGTTTCCTTCGCTCAGCGCGGAGGAGCGAGACGCCAGGCTGAACATCGGCGCTTGGGTGAAGCTGGCCATCACGCGTCAGGGGCGACACGATAATTGCATCAACGGCGAGCTGGGCGACATGCCACAGAGGCAACCCGTTGCACACTACGTCGATGCGCCGTGCATCGCGGACTGGAACATCAATGTTCATGTCAGCGACACGGACACTGCGGGCGACTCGAGACCTAGCCTCGCGACAAACGCGGGCCAATGCACGTTCCAAAGGCCGCACACGGGTCGGGAGCACGCACGATGTGGCGCAGGCCGCGCGGTGGTCTCCGAGGGCGTCAAGGCTGCGGCGGCAGCTGCACGTACGCGGCCCGAGTTGCAAAGGAAGGCGCAAGCGACGGAGCAGGAGAACTCGGAACAGTGGGCCGGAGATTGTGACGTCATCGGCCGTGGGTAGGACCGTGAGCGCACGGGCAGCATGGGGCCCGGCTTGGGATAGCAACAAAGCGCGAGACGCAGGTGGAAGGTCAGTAAGATGCGTCTCAAACTGACGCTCGGTCCTCGCAAGCTGGGGCAGCACGGCGCTGCCAGCCACGCAGGTAGTCCGTGGGTTCCTCGCCCCTGGCAGATTCGACCGGGGCAGCTTGGAAGGTGTCCTGCCAGGGCGGCGCATGGAAACCTTGCTCTGTAAGGTGGGCGGCGGCCTGAGCAGCAGCAGCAGCAGCAGCAGCAGCAGAGGCAACGGAAGGGACCCTTCCGGCATCGGGCTCGTGGAGGCAAGCAACGAAGCGGGCCGCGGCTTCCGGCGCCCGGTCGCGGATGCCAGGAAGCCCAGTAAGCTGCATGCCTGTCTGCCAAAGCTTGACACAAGCCGAAGCCACCACACTGCAAGGGCAAATGGGAAGCACGTACGATCACGAATGGCAGCGGGGGGCAGCGGAGCATCCGCAAATCCCAGGAGAGTGGCAAGGCAGCTTCCTCAGCGAAGTGCGAGGTCGCGGCCGGCGGCAATGCTCGCAAAAGGTAGTTGGCTCGCGGGCACGCACAATAACGGAGGATGAGCCAAGCGGCTAGCAGGTCGTCAATCGCAGGGATGCGGCCGAGCAGGCAGTCGTGTCCGGCACTTTTTTTTTCCACGCACCTTTTTACGGCAGCAAAGCTGCGTGCTACGACTACCTCTACCGGCAGGGCCCAACGCAGTCAGCCTGAGGCCGTCAGAGCGCCTCAGCGAGGAGCTTGAGCATGAGATGCCTTTGGACGAATGCATCGGAGCCGAGCGGAGTGCCAAGCACGACGATGCCTTGCTGCTCCTGCGGCAAGGACCAATCGCCAACCCAAATGGTCGACTCGGAACGGGATTGCAACTCGGCGACCCGCGCCGGCTCCTCGCCGGCAGCGTTCCACACCCGCGTTTCGCCGTTGTTGAGCTCTATACGCGAGTGTGCGTCCACAGCGCAGCGTGGAAGGCCTCGTAGAGTTCGTGGACCCGCTCGGGCGGCGCGACAACGTAAGTGTCGTCCAAGAAACTGAACACAGCTTCGCCGTCCCGCAGTTGGTCCTGGACATCGCACAAATCAAGCTGCTCCCCACTCGCGAACAGCTCGAAGCGGCGGTCCAGCTCCGCAGGGGGGACACGAGCGTCCCCAGTGGCTCGAACAAGGAGCATGCGCGGCGCGAGGAAAAACAGTTTCCAGCCACGGAGCTCGAGTTGTCGCGTCTCCCGGTCGGTAATGAGCTGCAAGCTAGTGCGGAGTGCGGTTCGCAACACACCGCGAAGGAAGGCGGGCTGGAACACCTTGCAGGGTACGGATGCGTTGGCGCAATGCCACATCGAGAGTGATTGTGTCGAGGGAAGCCAACCCGAGTTGCATGCCTGCTGCAGCGGCTGCGGTTCGCCTCTCGGGGGCAGTGCTTCGGGCAGGGACCTCGGAAGGGGGCACTTCGCTTGCAGAAGCGGTGGGGAGAAGGAACTGCCGGCTCTGGCTTGGCGGTGGAGGCCACGGACGCGACCAGTTGCGCGCATGGTGGCCGCGGCGGCTCGAACCAAGTTTTTTTTTTTTTTCAACGGACTTTTCCGACTGCAAGAGGATCCGGTAGCTACGACAGTCCTACGGCATCACATTACTGCGTGCGGTCCCGGTTTAGGGCCGCAGGGGCAGGCGGCTGGGCGCCTCGTCAGCGGCGAGGTCGAGCACACGGTCCAGTGCTGGGCCATCGCCCGGCCCCGGCGCTGGGACGGCTGGCCACGCGCGACCCAAAGCCGTGCCTGCAACGGCGAGCTGGACTGCGACTGACAAGGCTCCCCACCAGCGTCGCGCCCACCCAGAGGACGCGCGCGACGCAGTGCGGGCGGCGCACGGAGAGCTCGGAGGCGGACGAGGTCGCGGACGAGATGCTGCGCTGTTGCATTCCAGCGGCCTCCGATTTCCGAGCCCAGCACCAGTAGCTTCTGCGGGCCGCCCCTCGCGAGCTCCGGGTAGGTGCTTTGCTTGCGCCGCTCCGCGACCTTCAGCGCCGCCCCGTCCACTTCCACTGTGCATGGATGCGGGTGCCCTGTCCTCGTGAGGGGGGACACCAGTGTCGCGTCGCAGCACAGCGCCCCGCCATTGGCTGTGGCGCCGTAGACAGTGCACGCGAACTGGGCGGCAAGGAAGGCAGAAGCACGCAATCGCGAGAGTGTACGGTAAGGGTCCGCGACGCGTGGTACTGCCAGCCGTGCGGCCAGTCCCCGGCACCAGGGGCTGCAGGCGGGGCAGGACGGGCTCCTTCGAGGAGCACACGCCATGTTGGGCAATCGCTCCATCCTTGGTCCTGCAAGGTACGGCGTGCATTCGCTGCTTCTGCAAAGCAGTGCGCTCCACCTCCGGCGTCGGACTCGAGGAGGCGCGCATAAGTGGCCGCGCTTGAGGGCAGGCGCGCATTGATTGCAGGCAACGCATCCGCCCAGGAAGCCCAGAAGGCTGCAGGCGCTATCGCTTCAGCGGATAGCAACCCCAGCCCGCCCAGCACACCTGGCAGGGCGGCGACCTGCCTCGCATGAGCGGCTTCCGCGTCGCCCATTCCGCCAAGCATGGCTTGCAGCGTGGCCCATATGGCATCATCATGTCCACGCGCGTACGTCGCAGACGCCGAAGGGGGCATGGTGCGAATGGCATGGTTCGCACGAGGGGATGCGCACAATAGCAAAAGCAACCATGCACACTGTAGGTCTGGCAGCTTGGGCAGTTGGTCGAGGAGCTCTTGCTCGGCGCGCAGCCTATCCTCGGCCCATGCTTGCGCGAAGGCAGGGTGGCCCACGGGCGAGCCAAGGACGACGACACCCTGTTGGGCGTCTGGCTTGTCGCCTCGCCACACTTCATCGCCCAGTTCCGCAATCCCGGGCGGAGCTGGACCTGCTGGGGCGGCGGACACCCGAGTCTTGCCCAAATTGGACGCGATGCCACACCGGGCTTCGACAGCGTGCACGGTCGTGTCCAAGGCGGCTCGCGCGCGACACGGCTGTGTGATAACATACAGGTCATCCAGAAAAGCGACGAGGCTGTCGTCTGGGTGAAGCGCCGCTGCCGCCTGTTGGAGAGCATCGTGCTGTCCC